AAAAACAGTTTTGTTATCATTCTCAGGTGGAATCAGTTCCAGATCTCAAACCTGTTGAGAAAAAGGTGAAGCCACGTCGTCGGATTTGATCAAGCGAGCTGCCTTGATGCACAGATAACTGCTACAACTTTGGAAAATGACAAGTTTCCCAGTTTCTTTTGGCAGCTTGTTTTTATTTACACATTTTGCACCACAATTGTATTTTTATAAAGACTGAATTCTGGAAATGCACATGAATCTGATTTCCTCATTGCTCCAGTTGTTCCTGAAATACATGCTGCTCAAATGCCTCAATTCTCTGAAAACAGAGGAAAAACAGGGTGTGAGATTAAGGATTTCTGATTTAGAAATTTAAGTTATTATTTAACAAGCTTTGATTTGTGTTTACCATAGTGTCGGGGAGGCAGGTTCCAAAAGCCTCAAGTAATAGATTTTCTTCTCTCACAGCCTTTTCAAAGTCAGTGAAAGATATTCTGCCATCATGGTCATGGTCCTACGAAAATAAACAACAACAACATATGGAGCTAATTATTATGGAGCTAATATGTTACTGTGTCAGGGCATCTGAGAATGTTTTTCATGGCCCCTGAAACACACATTTTCTGAGTTTTGAGGAGGTGGTGCAGAAAACATATTCAGAGGTAAATCAAGGAAAAGACATTTAAAGCAACAGGCCAGCAGTATTCATCCCCTCACCATCTTCTTGAGTGTGATCTCCACCAAGTCTTTGATTCCTTCATCAGGGTCCTCCTCTGTGGGCTGTCTGATGAGGCTGTTCTTCAACATGTGAAACATCTCCTCTCTGGAGATGTAGTTATCGCCATTCAAGTCATATACATTAAAACAGTCTGCAAAAAGAGGAAAAGTTATTCACAGATTCTCTGATTTTTTTTTTGTGTGTGTGTACGTCAGAGTCTGAGCAGTGAATGTAAGAATGAGAACTTACATTTCATTTTTTCATCCAAGGTCCCCCGAAGGAAAACAGACAGTCCCTCGATCCATTCTTTCACACTGACAAAGCTGTCGTTGTCTTTGTCAAATGTCCTGAACACTGGTGGACAGATAATCAGTAACATTCAGAACATGACCAGGTTACCCAACAATCACAACACTCTGCATCCAAACTGCTGCTCGTTATCCAAGTATAAAATATTTGTCATATGAAAGAGACAGATGAGCCCACCTCCGTCCATGATCATGTCGTCAGTCATCCCAAAGACGTTGTGCAGTATGCTCCTGAACTTCCCTCTGTCCAGGCCGGTAACCACTCTTCCAGGGATAGTCTGCTCCCCCAGGAGTAGGTTGAACTCTCGGATAAGGCACTCCACCTCTGTTTTATTGACTGGGATCATTGACATGGCAGCATTTCGCATTCTTTTATGTTAGTGGTGTGACAGGTAGCGTTAAAACAATGAAATGCACAGCATAAAGGAAGTAATTTCAGCAGAATTTCTCATAAACTGCAGTAAAATGACATGAAAATTGATGTGGACATGGTTCAAAGATTTATGTGACCTGAAGGATTTTTTAAATCAGTGATTAATATGAGGAAATTTTGATTATATTATGATGCTATTTTACCTTTAAATATCTCATAAACTACACAGTAAAATTACATGAAAATTGACATGATCCTAGTGGGGGTCACCTAGAACAAGAATCCATTAAAAGATTTATGTAACCTATGAAGCATGTGTTTTTTTAAACTAATATCCAATATGAGGAAATTGTGATTATACTTTAGGGTAATTTGAGCAGACTTTACCTTTAAATTTCTCATAAACTATACAGTAAAATTACATGAAATTTGACATTGACATAGTGGGGGTCACCTAGAACAAGAATTCCTTGAAAGATTAATGTAACCTATGAAACATTTTTAAAAAATAAATCAAATATTAGGGAATTGTGATTACACTACAGGGTAATTTGAGCAGACTACCTTTAAATTTCTCATGAACTATAAAATTGACATCGACATAGTGGGGGTCACCTAGAACAAGAATTCCTTGAAAGATTAATGTAACCTATGAAGCATTTTAAAAAAAATAAATCAAATATTAGGAAATTGTGATTACACTACAGGGTAATTTGAGCAGACTGCCTTTAAATTTCTCATGGACTATACAATAAAATTACATGAAAATTGACATGGATATGGCCAGGGTCATCCTGAACAAGCATTTTGTTTAGTGACAGGTAAAATATATTTTTTTGTTTATATCTTTAATTTAGAGCTCCTTTACAAAAAGAGTACAGTAGAAAAACTTCTAATATTTTGTAATTTAAATTCATAATGTGCAATACAATGCACTGCTTATCTGGTATATCAATGGGAGAAACAGGGGACAATGCATTGCTGAAAAACGGGTCTCTGTCATTTTTGGCTGTTCTAACCATCCGTACCGTATTACCACAAATAGACAAGCATCAAAATCCGTATCGCGGCTAGCTTGACTGGACTTTCGCTAATGACGGGTGCTCGGCACAACAGACCAGCATAAAATACCGTGTCAGGTAACGTTGAAGTGAATACTCACAGTGCTCCACTTGTTTTGAGAGTGTTTCAGCCAGTGTTTTTATCGGTTTCCTGTTCATGGCAGACATGTTTAGAGGTGGCACACCGGACAGGAGCAGCACTACTGTTGATATTCAGTCGCCATGGCAACCGAGTATCAAGCCTGACGCAGCTGCTGAGTCCTAAGCAAGCTTCCCCTGCAGCCATTGAACTGTATTTAAATGTCCTTTTATGTTTCTTATGTATTCTGTATGTAAAGCGCTTTGACTTGGTGATGAAATGTGCTGTCTGAATAAACTTGCCTTGCTTAAATTTACTTCTAAGAAACATATTTAAGATAGGGCTATTATGCATGTTTTAACGTCTATTTTACCCATCATCACGTTGTTTTATCTTGGCCAAAGTAGATAAATATGTTTTTCCATCAGCATTTTAGTTCTTTCACTATCTGTCACCTGCACAGACTCACCTTAATTCAGTTTTTGGTTGAATCTTTTTCCCTGTTACATGCACCACTAAGTCTGGCACTGTGGCTCCACTGATTTTATTGTGGATGTTGTAACAAGCTTTAATGCTACCTGTATTTTAAGAGCAAAAATCAATTCAGCTTACAGTGTGCAGTAAAGCTCCCATTTGTTTCCACCAGTCCCACAGTATCCACGAGGCTTTTCATTGCATTGCAAGTGGAGCGATATTAAACCTGCTGGCTGTTGTGGTGCCGCTGCAACACATGATGGATGTGTTGTGCATTATCAGGCAGTGTGATGCATTTGTTATATATCTGAAGTTTTACATGTTGTTATTCACTTTGTCATAGAGAATGGCAATCATGGCAAGGAGTAGGTTTGCACAGAGAGCAGCCCTGCTATATCACAAAATGCAAATGTGTCTTACATCACAGAAAGAGTGAAATAATATGCAAGAAATATGTAAGGGTCGGCATGTAGCAACAAGAGAAGACCAGTCATGGTTCTTACTGTTTCCCCACAGCCCAGTCTGCACCAGTGTGTCATTAGATTCTTGTGTTAGTCTTGTTAATGAGGCTCTTTGACACTCATACTTTCCTACACTGCTCTGATCAATCTGATCTAAGAGCACACTTTGACACGCCTCACAGTTCTCTGAAGGAGCACTATAATGTAGCATAACTTTTCTGCACTGGGTGTTAAAAACTGTATTAAAAGAAAACAACAAAAAAATAAATGAATAAAATACCTGTAAATACCTGTATGCATCTAAATACAAATAAACTAAGTGCTGGGACATTTGTTTAATGGATTAGTTAGTTGGCAGAACATAATTAACAATGATTTTTTTTAAGCAAATATTAACCAAAAATGTTAAACATTTGCTGGTTCAAGCACCTTAACTGTGAGGATTTGCTGCTTTTATTTGTTTCCTGTTAACTGGAAATCGAATACTGTCTGTTTAGGTTTGGGAGTTTTGCTTAAAGGCATCATCCTCTGGGAAGAGGTGGAGTGGGGAGTGACTTTTCTTGTAGACTAAATGCCAATAACCAAACCTTGTATGCATCTGTGTAAAGTGTCTGTCTGTCCTGTATCTGTCTATTTTTGTCTAAAATACCCAAATGGTTTTTCTGAAGTGGGGCTGAATGAGGTACTTATTCATAGTCAGTGTATTACCCACAATAGCTTGCTGTCAGCACACTCTGAGTTTGGAGAAGCAGACAAAATTACCACCACAGAAGCTAAGCATCGAACTGCTGCAGACGGGAGGCAGCAGCAAAATGTATTTTCGTCACCTTAAAAACATCAGTATCAGTTTAAGTGTTTGCTGTATTTATAATATTTTTAGAGCTTTACCTTGCCGTCAGACAGCCCTCTCTGACAGGAACTAAAGCTTTTTAAAGCCACACTCCACTGACAAAAATGGTAATTTTACCTCACTGAACACAGGAGTTGCTGTTCTACCGCTGCCTCGATTGGTTAGTTAGTTTGTGTTATTGCATGACTTTGGTGTTTTAAAGGGTTAGTTTAGATTTACCAAGGTCACGCAATAATAGAAAAAAACAAAAAACAAGACAGTAGTAGCAGCTCGTGTGTTCGGCAAGTTAAAATGACTGTTTTTGCCAATGGAGTCTGGTAGATATAACAGCTTCAGTTCCCAGGGCAAGGTAAAGCAGTGAAAATATTCTAGTGTACACTTAAACCGATATTGATCAGACACAGAGGAAGCAGTAAAATCTCTGAAGTGGTGTGTTCTGTGTGGCCTTCATTGATTTTGTGTTGCTGGGTCATACTACATGGAAGTTATTGAGGGAAAAAAAAACAGGATTTTCCATAAACTCAAAATGGAAATTCACATTTTAATCAAGATTAAGAGTTTATTAGCAGGGTCTGATTGGTTGCATCGCATTACTAAGCTTTGAGCTATAGTAACCAGGCACTTAAGTCTGATTGTTAAGCAGTTTAACCCCTGCATCATCAGTCAGATCAAGTGAAGAGACACTATACACTGTGGGGAAAGAATTCACCTGAAATGTATTTAATGTGAGAATCATACATATAGAAAGACAATTTGATGCTTCAAACCATAATCATTTACAATGATTAGTACAAAAACAGACATTAAAATGAGTCCCAGCTTTTAATTGTAAGCCATCATGTGTTTATCCTATCACACCAACAACCTGTTTATACAGTAAAGGCATTTTTGCCGATGATATTCCGTCACAGCAGCGCTCAACTCTCACGAAGTCATGCCAACTGAATCTTTTCTTAACACACTCTTCACACTTAAACTTATTTCGCCTGTGTGTGCAGCCATGTGTTTTGTCATCAGATTATTTCGACTGAACTTCTTCCCGCACACAGTGCAGGCATAGGGTTTCTCTCCCGTATGGATTCTCATGTGGACGTTCAAGTTTCCCACATGGCGAAACGCTTTCCCGCAAATTTTGCAACGGTATGGCTTCTCCTCCGTGTGGATCCTCATGTGCACACTCACACTGTTGCCATGTCGAAACTCTTTGCCACACACCTCACAGACAAACAGTTTCTCACCCGTGTGGGTTTGAGTATGTGTGGCCAGATGTGCGCTGTGGCTGAATTCTTTGCCACAGAAGCGACAGCAGTAGGATCTGCTTCTTCTGTTTGTGTCTTTATTTGGTGGAGTTGGGCTGCGTGGTTTGCAGCTTCTAGTCCGCCGGTTTCTCTCCATGTGGCTCTGCATTTGAACTTTACCGACACTGTAGCCTGTCAGTGCTGATAAACCCAACTCAGGCCCTGTGTTATCCAGAGTCACAGAACAATCTGGCAAAACAGTCCAACATTCACTGCTTGACTGAGCATTTCCCTCAACGTCTCTGTGGTCAGCTGAAGTGTTGGGAGCAGGCTCTGTGTCTTCATTTCCTCTGTCATGAGTTTGTAACTCAGTCATGTCTGAGTAAATAAAACTCCTTCTGCAAGTGGGTGACACTTTCAAGGTGCTGGTGTCCGAGTCCTCCGTATCAGATAGCTGTTGTTCCTCTGGACTGCTCCATGGCTGTTCCTGTTTGATTGCTGCAGGCTCTTGGACCAGCAGGCCACAGTCCTCCTGACCCACACCAGGGTTGTTGTGGCAGCTCTCAGGACTCCACTCCTGTCCGAAGTGGTCCTGCTCATACGCACAGACAAAGACCTGCGGCGAGTCTGTTGAGAGGAAAAGGTGAGAGATGTGCTTAAAGTTTGCCACCTTTTAGTTGATCAATCCATTCTGCTTTGTATGAAAGACAGATTCTCTAAATGAGTAATTTTTGGCAGGCGTCCTGGTGGCTGAGTGGCTTAAGTTATTTGAGCTGTTTGAGTTGGTCCAGGGGCCTTTGTTGCATGTCTTCCCCAATCTCTGCCCTCATTTCCTGCCAGCTCCCTACTGTTTCCTGTCTAACAAAGGAAACATACGTTAAGTTTTGTCTGCGAACGGGTACAAAGACTCTCTTGGCCTTCTTACAGCATATTTATGTGTGTATATTAAGCAAAAAATTGAAAATGGCTATGCTCTCCACTAACAGAACATGTTTTCATTGTACCGATAGTATGTATGGAGTTTGGCAGATGAGCATTTATGTATCTAATCTTCTGCAGGAGTACTTAAAGTTGCACTCATTGTTCCTCTCGGCTGTTTCTTTCAAAGCACTGTTGCAGGATTTTTGTACATGATCATCTATATGCCAATGTCAGGGTGTATTTTCACTGGTCTTTGTAATCATGTGTAGTTGCCCGTTTTATGTTCCAATGGTTCACTTACAGCCTATATTAACATAGTTTTTAGCTTTTCTTTGTAATAATCTCATTTGGTGTTTTATATTGCTTGTTTTAGAGCTGTATATTTTTCTTTGTTCTATGTTGTCTGTCTGTAACTTTCTGCTCCTGCCTGTTTTGACCAGGACACCTTTGAAAAAGAGATTTTTAATCTCAAGGTTTTTTCTGGTTAAATTAAGGTTAATTTAAAGACATACACGTATTCAATCTGTCTTTCAAACTTTGTGTAGACTATTCTGGAATGATGTTTGAGCGCTGCTTGGGCGGAGACAGACAGTATTTTGTGGAGCTGCATCATTGTATCTCACCAGTAAAGGAGCTAAAATTAGCGTCGTCACCCGGGTGTTATGTTGACCCTGTCGTGAACGCCAATTAAAACCTTAACCATTATATTAAAAAGCCCGATGTGCAGTGCCGAGTAGTTCGGTGGGTATAGGGCAGGCGTCCCATGAACAAAGGCAATGTTTTGTTTTGTTTTAAAAAAAGGCAGTTGTTAGGTTTTTTTTGCAGTGGAAAAGGGGATTAAGTAACTGTTTATGCTGCTGGATCACTAACGTACACTGTCATGCCTCTCTCAGATAAAGGGAAAGAAAGCAAACTAATTATGCAAAAAAAAAGGGTGCATGAAAGACACATATACCCTGCATTAGCGTTTTTTTGTGATCGGCTTGCAATCGGATTGCTCTTGACCGCAAGAAAGTACAGGTGTAAATATACTCAAAACGCATTGGAAGGATTTTTGTCCAATCTGCCAAACCACTTCTGAAGGTGGTCAGGGACCATTGCGACCACACCGAACACAAGTGTAAATGCAAATGCATCTCCAATCCACAGGCAACAATAAAATACATAAGAGAGGTGCACCAGCTGGACACAGGAAGAGAGAAGAAGACAACAACAACAATAACCCTCGCTGGGTAGTGACTGCCAAGAAAAAGAAAACACAGATGATAGCCGAAGATGGAGTTACGGTGAGACAAAGTGTCTGCTCTCCATTTGGTCCGACAAAAGTATACAATAACACAACTTCACAGATGGCTAATATCTTGTTATTGTTGTTATTGCGGCGCACAGGATATGACGTTGTAGTCTGCTGCTGGAAATGTTTGCAGAGGAAGAAGAGGAAGATGTGACGTCAGCGGGACGGAGCGTGATCGGATAGTAAACGGATCTGGATGTGGACACCAGATATGCATATTAATACCAGATATAAATGTATGTGGTCAAGGGCTATCCGACTGCAATCTGATTGCAACAAACTCATGTTGATGCCAGGTGTAAAGGGGGCTATAGATCAAGAGGGCTGGGGGGGCCACAGAGCCTGCTTATGCACAGGGCCCAGATTTTGGTGCTGCGCCCCTGAGCCTCGCTGTGATTAAATGGCTGGAAAATATAATACAAACAGCTGTCAGTGTAAGGCAGCACAGTTCAGCGCTTAATACAACTTTTCCCATATGCAGTAGTACTCATCGAGACCTGTAAACAGACTTTAGGACGTGACAAAGGATAGAAAACAAAACAAACCTTTCCTGTGTGAATGCACTTCCTGTGTGAGTCCGTGTTGGTCGCTGTCCTGATCTGAGCCAGCAGCCTCCTCATCGTGCTCTGTGATCGTTCTCTGCACCGCTGCAAAGATCTCCTCTGCAGCCACGTGCAGCCGCTCACTGATAAACAGCCTCAACAAGCGCATCTGGGACATTTTGAGCAACTGTCAACCTGCACCTACAGCACACAGCCCGCCGGTGTCTGTGTGTCAAGTTGCACGGAAATATAACCTGACAACAGCTGGCTACTAACTTCAAAATAAAAGTGTTACTGCAGGAGTAAGTTGGTTTAAAATTCAATGACAAACCTTTATAGACAAACCAAAAGCCCTTATCGAGACTTTATTTTCAAAAGGCTCCACTTCCGGCTTCATTCCAGTTTGAAGCAGGGATATTAACACCGCCACCTACTGGACAGGATGTCTGTCTCATATGCCTCACTCCACTGTATTGGGGCACTGTGTGATGGTGATGAATAGGAGGATGGATACCTGATGTATAACCGTTTGTTTTCATGTTAAAAATTGAGGATAAATTACAGGACATAATCTTCTCTTGTTGTGCCCTTATTCTTCATTGTCTCCTCTTAAATTTGCCTGAAAAGTTTACAGAGTAATTATAAAGTCTGACCACAAGGTGGCAGTCAGGTATCCATGAAATGGAAGAAATGAATACATGCAGTTGCAGGCCTTTTCTGTTACATACAATAACAGACATGACACCTATAAATCTAATAATTATTGTCTGAATAATGAGAGTACATGGACCTCCAAGTTGAAGGTGATAAGGCCTATTTTTTAAATAAGCTTACAGTTTAAAGGTCCAGTGTGCATTTAGGGGGCTGTTGGCAGATATGAGTATGTGTTTCCTTTGGTGTATAATCACCTGAAAATAAGAATTGCTGTGTTTTAGAATGAGCCACTTATATCTACATAGGGAGTGGGTCCTCATCTACAGAGATTACCATGTTTCTACAGAAGCCCAGACCAGACAAACCAAACACTGGATCTAGGTTGGGCCATTTACATTTTCATTTTTGCATGAGACACTGTAGTTAGCAGCCCCTCTGCAACGAGTGTTGAAAAAACACTTCTTCTTTTCTTTTCTTTTCTTTTCTTTTCTTTTCTTTTCTTTTTTAGATACAACTGCTTCATTCAGTGTGATGTATTTGGGAAATGTGCCACCTGGACTATCAAAGCAGGACAGGTATTTATTACAATACTTCTAGCAGGTTCTAAAAAAGCAACAGCCAGGAAATGGTTGAGTAAAGAGTCTCCAGCAACTTCTGAATGGACAGAAGTAGTGAAGGAAAATTATGTTATGGAACAACTGAATTTTGCCTCTGAAAAATGTGAACAATATTGGAAAAAATAGAAATCGTATTTGACTTCCCAGTGATCTAATTTGTTTGGTGGATTTTGTCTTGTCCCCCTTGGCATTGGGACATGCGGGGTGGATAGTGGCTCATGGATGACTGGACGATTTCTCCCTCCCTGGAGGGGCTCTGGATTTCCAGGGGTCAAGGCTGGGGATCATGGGGACCTTTGTGGTCTTGAGAAACGATCATGGACTGGCACTGCAGTATAGCCTTGCTTCTTCTTCTTTTCTGTTTTGCTCTATCTTGGGCATTTCACCTTTGCCTATAATGTCCCTGCCTGTTGTTGTTGGTTTTTGTCTGCTTTTTTTCTTTTTCTAAAAACGAATAAAAATTAAGTTAAAAAAGAAACTGCTTCATTCAGTGTTTTTACTGGTTTACATAATTTGCCCCCCCTGTAAAAACAAACAAAAAATGTGTGGATCAGAAATAAGGTGAGCACACATTAGGCTGTCAGAGAAAATAGGTGAGCAATCACTTGTTTAATTTGTTTTGGAGAGGAAGAGACCTCTGCGGATAATTCAGCTTCTAGGTAAAACCTCTTGAACTATCAACAACAGGAACAGCAATTCTACCCAGGAGAAGTTTTAGCTGGTTGCAATATACAATCCTCACCACTAGATGTCACTAAATCCCCCTAAATTTTACACACTACACTTTTGAGAGGTCTGGGAAACAACTTGAAATAATTATATGGTTATTAATATCTTAAAATGGCCTCTCCATGTTTATCTACTTGGTGTTATATTTTAATTTAGTAAATAAAGAAGAACCCTGGGTGATTCATCAGTTCAGGTTTGATATTTAATTAATAAACTACAATAGATTACAACAATTTTGTCAGATAGGACACAGACTGAACCAAAAACATACAAGTAAAACATGAAATGCAGATAGATTTGGTTTCAGACTAAATATTTCTGATCTACACCATTAATTCACGATATTGCACCACTACTGACTTATGTGTCTGTATGTATGAAAAACTGTGGACAGAGAGGTTAAATGTGCTGAGGGTTTCCTTTCACTCCAGACAATTATTTGAACATGTGTTTGCGTGCAAGCCGTGTCTCAGTCAATCGTTCCGTTGTGTGAGGTTAGTTCTGATTGATAGTGTTGCGTCGATCCAGTTGTTTGGGTTTTTGATCATGGAGGTCCACACAGCGACCTCATCCTCTGTGGAGTCCATCCAGCTGACAGGCTCCCCATAACTCAGACCTGCCATTAAAAAACACATAATTCATTATTTATGTTGAAGACAAGTTGACAGAAGTACCACAATCCACACACTGAGGAATGATGCTTTCAATCTTAATGACGTCACTGAAACAGTCCCAACAACTGACCACAGTTCCTGTACGTACATGCACATATGCACTACCGCAGCCCCCAGGCTGACTGCAGTAACAACAAACTGCCCTGCCCTCTCAATACTACATCTTTATGTTAAAAGACTGTTTACAACAAGCAAAACCTCATTAAAGCTGTCACTTCCCACCACTCTACTGACATCATCTTCTTTCCTGACAATGAGACAGAGGCTGCAGCTCAACACAATCAAGAACTACTTGACATTACTTTAAATCAGCCGTTCAGTCTGTCTCATTATTCTATCTTGCTTCTTTTATATTGCTTCGCGTTTTTATATTGCTCTTTGTCTTGTACAGTTTACTTATTGTACAGTTTACTTATTACACAACCTGTGTTTTTCTTTTCACCGATACATACTTATATATTGCTTTGTGTTTTATTTTCAACTGATGCTTCCCGTTTGCACCATCTGCTGCTGTAATGTTGCAAATTTCCCCACTGTGGGACGAATAAAGGATTATCTTATCTTCTCTCAAATTGTTTTCCACATTTCCTCACATATTTAGCAATATGTGGATATTTATCAATGCAGAGGAGCATTGGTAACCCAGAAATGACCTTGCTCTGATGACAAGACCGTCTGAAATGCCTTGAATGCCAACAGGACAAAGTGCAGTGCAATGTGAAGCTCTGGATGGAAAAACTGCTACCATACTACTCCAAAATACGAATGTAGACAAAGCATAAAGCTGCTTGTATGGCACTATCTACAAAACTGACCATACAGCAAACCAACCAATCAAACAACTCCTTTAATGTCTCATCCCCTGACACAGAAACTACTGCCCTCCTACAAGCCAAATGTCAATGGACCCATGAGATAGTAAATTCAGAAAAGCTGGATTTTGACAGGAGATGTTCGAGCTCTATTCAGCACCTTCCTGTCAAACCCTTTGTCACACTGAGTCTCCAGTTACCAACTGACTTTTTGAAGACAGCCCAAGATAAACATGGGTGAGTTAATTTAAAAAGCACACTGCCAACAACAGCCCCGGAACTGAGAGCGACTTGATGAGAGATAAGATAAGATCCTCAGCACAGACCGGGCTCCGCGAGCACTGCAGCACAGGAGAACAAATACCGTCTCTAATACTGACTGCTGCTTTCAGAACAAGGTAAAGATGCGAGAATTGTTCCCGTCTGGTCGCTTATTATGTCATCTGTAATAGAATGATCAGTCTTTATGAAATGTGAAGGTTCTTATGCTTATAATAAAACCAGCAAACCCCCGACACACAGGTTATTGGTGTCAGCATCTGCATTAAAAAAGCATCCATGTGATTCTGAATGTGCGTCAGTGTAGATGTTAGTGCAGAGACACCCACCAGTTCCACAGCTCAGACGAACCCCTCCTAGGATGCGCTGCTTTAACCCTTCACGCTGCCACACAGTCAGCTCAGCGCAGGCCTCTCTCAGGTCGCTGGTGTGGAAGCCATCGTACACCATGGTATGGTTGTAGGTCGGGCTGATGGAGCGCTTCACCACCCGCGTCTTCTGACCACTCTGACGACTGGCGTCTGGGAGTATGTAGCTGGCGGGGGTACAGATTACGATGATGAGACAGTTAGATTCAGATTCAAACCATATTGTGGGTATAAATATGCAGATCAGATGTTTAAATAAAAACTTTGTTAGGATAACAATATAGTATGGTGCATGTGTTTAAAACCTTAAAGGGACAGTTCACCACAAAATCAAAAACACATATTTTTCCTCTTACCTGTAGTGCTATTTATCAATCTAGATTGTTTTGGTGTGAGTTGCTGAGTGCTGGAGATATCAGCCTTAGAGATGTCTGCCTTCTCTCCAATATAATGGAACTAGATGGCACTCAGATTGTGGTGCTCAAAGTGCCAAAAAACACATTTGAAAGACTCAACAGCAATGTCTGTTTGCCTTTATTATTTAATAGAGCAGCTACAGAGTGACAGCAAAGGGCCACAGGACAGACCCAAATCTGAGCTGCTGCCAAGGCCTCAGGCTACATGGGGCACAAGCTGGAGCAGTTGAGCCGGAGGGCACAACTGTTTTCTTTCTATCAAACCTAAACCCAGTAAATGTACCACCATGCAGAAGGAAGCGTGCATCTACACATGGACAAGAGGCTTGTCCTCATGACTGTGCCAGATGTAAACATTAATGGCGTCCTCTTCTGCTGAGCTGTAGTGTTAGCTAGCTCAGTGGCGCTACTGAGCTAGCAGTAGATGCACACTAATTTCTGCACAGTGATACATAGCTCAGTGGAAAGAAAATAGTTCCTACATGAAACTGCTCACAACAAGGTCTGTGGATTATCTTGAGTAACTGGGTCATGATTTCTGGAAAGACACATTGCTGTTGAGGTTTTCAAATATATTTTTTGGGCACTTTGAACACCACAAGCTGAGTGTCATCTAGATCCATTATACTGGAGAGAAGGCAGACACCTCAACACTCAGCAACTCACACCAAAACGACCTTGACTGATAAATTGCACTACAGGTAAGAAGATAAAAATGGATTTCGGATTTTAGGGTGAACTGTTCCTTTTTATTTACACAGTAATAGTATAAATAGTCAAAAATATGAATGTGAGGGCGGAGAATTGTAAGTAAATGATGAGTTTAAATGTCCCGTTTCACCAAATATATTGTACAAATAAAACTGCTGCCAGGATCGATAACTGATGACAAACTTGGTATGATTTCAGATGTACTGTACATTTTATTGCATTGGTATGTAATTTTGATGTCTTTTTTCTTATCTTTTTTCTTTTACTAAAAGCCTAACTAGGGACGGGAGTTGGAAACTAGCATTAGCTATAATCTCTGTATGCAGAACATCAGTCACATTGACTAGTTTGTAACGAGTGGAAGTGTTACTATGTTAACCAGCAATGTCCCTATCAAATAAACTAAATTAAATTAAATTAACTATCAGACAACATGTTATAGAGCTAACACACCTTCTGACAAAGGAGTCTATAGCGCCCCCTTTGTTGGCCAGGAGACCTTGAGCTTCCCGTAGCCAGATGTGAAGCTCTCCTGTCAGAGGCAGTCCATCACCTTAACACACACACACACACACACACACACACACACACACAATGTATGAGACACATGTGATTTACGTGGGACATAACTTGCAACCACGATGTGTGTGCTCTGCTCACCCTCGTATCCATCTGGGATGAACTTAATAGAGAGCAAGATGGTCCCACGACTGCTGATGGAGTCTGGATTCAAATGAACCTGTGATGAAGGGTGAAGGGGGAAGAGAGAAAAGATAAAGGTGAAGAAAAAGACACAGGAAGTGAGAGAGAGAAAAAGCAAGGGGGGAGGAAGGCGTAAGTGTGGAAGCAGGAAAAGATTAAGGTTACATAAAACCTTAGTTGAAATTCACAGCATGTCTTCCTCTTCCCTTCAGCTCTCCCAGACACAAGAGACACTCCTCTCTGTACTCCGTGTCTCCAACAAAGCTGCTACACTGCTGTTACACACACTCTACTAAACAAATGTAGATGCAGACATCATGGTGTTTTGGTAAATATTAGTCTAGTGGTATTCAAACTGGCATGCTAATTAATGTGACTGGATGATTGTTTATTTGCATGTGAATCATTCATGTCTGCTCTTCCCTACCCGTGGCTGCAGGTCCTGCCACAGAGGCTGAGTGTAGGTCCAGTCCCAGACGCTCAGAGACACTTCCACCTCCCCGAGGAACACATTTCTGCCCAGGGGTTCGGCATGCCACACAGACAGGTTCAAGGTCCGGCTGCGCAGCTCTCCAACCCGCACTTTATACTACAGGATAAGAGCCAGAATCAGACAGGACGCACATGAGATGATGGAGGAGGCAAATGCAGGACAAAGACGTAAACTTGAAATCTGGTAGTTTATTGAACGATATCTTAAAGACTGGAGAAATGGTGACTGCAGTGCTGTGTTGTTGCAGGACATGTGGAGGAGAGCCGAGGGACAGATGGCAGATGGGGGATTTCTGTGGCGGCTGACGACTGTGTAATATGTAAATGAGAGTGTCTCACTCGGAGTGTCTGATCATAGACCGGGTTTAGCGTCTTCTTCTTCACTGCAGTTTTCTTCTTACTGTGACTCGACTTGTCCGGCAGGAGATAGGTTTTGACGTATCTGTGAACAATGCACACACAGACACATTATTTTGACTCACTTTGCACGTGACGTCGTCGCAGAAGGATTCACACATGTGCTGTCACTTACGGATCAGAGCGATTCTTGCGTGCCGGAGCAATGTCCTCGCAGCGATACACTTTGATGTGCAGCTCCTCCTTCTGGGTGTCGTAAGCCAATGAGAACTGGATACGGCCCTTCACCTCCACCACTCCAAAATCCCCTGAGCTGAACAGACTCATCATGCTTCCACTGAGCTATAACACATTCAGAACAGAGTGTTCAGCTCCTACGTCATTGTCCGGAGCTGAGTCATCCTGCTTCTCTGGATAGCCAATTAATCAAATGCGTGTGTGTGTGTGCATGCACGTATGTGTGTGTGCGTGTGTACCGTGTAGCCCGAATGAAGGCTGCCATTGGAGCTGCTGGTTATCACAGAAGCTGGATCCGGCTCTGTCAGACTGCTGCTCAGAGAGTCAGTGTCCCCGTTGTGACCGTCGAATTCTTCCTAAACGCACACACACACACACACACACCCATTATTCTCAAATGATCTATCACCTATCAGTTGGTGCCTGCTCCCTTTATAAGTCCTGCCCTTTAAAGGTTCGGTGTGAGGGATTAACGGGGATATATCAGGGTAAATGGATTATAATATGATAAGTATGTTCTCTTTAGTGTATTATCAGCCATAAATAAAATCGTCTTGTTTTTTTGTATCTCAGAATCAGCTGTTTTTATCAGTTTTAATCACCTGGTTTGTTTGTTTATGAGACAAATCTATGGATAAATCGTCTCCCAGTAAAAACCTCCTGAACAAGACACACAAGGAATGAACCAGGAGAAGTTTTAGCTGGCTGCAATCTCCAATCGTCACCACTAGATGCCACTAAATCCCCCTAAATCTTACACACTGCTCCTTTAACGACTTTATTATACTTCACCATTAAAATAACAAAATGTGTGACTGATTTAGACATTTAAATAATTCACCTCAAGTTCCTCGGAGTGGCCATTACTTCTCCTGTCACACTCTGTGAGCAGAAACAATAAGTTAATAATAATAATACTAGGAGACAGCTTAACTGCTACAGAGGCACAAAGAGAGAGGCGTCCATACCTTTGGATGATGAGGAACTATTTCTGACCACGAGACTCTGGAATTGAAGATGATAATTCATATTTAGATGATTTGTTTTTTAAGCACAGAACAAAAAAGAAGCATGTACACACAGACCTGTGTTGCGGGACTTTTTGTTCTGGATGTGAGTGCAGGTTTCAAACTTGCTAGACTCCTGAAAACACAAATTAAATATTGGAAATGCAGCACCACACAGAAGTCACAAAAGTGAGATGAGCTAATTTTTTTCCCCTGTGACAGACCCTCCACTCTCCTCTGCGTTGCCGTCTTTCAATCTCGTCTCCGCCTCGGGAGAGGTGTTGTTGTTGAGCGAGGTTTCCTCTCTCTCTCCGTTGAACAGTCCAGCCAGGGGCACATCTGTTACCATGGCAACAAATGCAGAACAATGACTGGGATATCCCTGTGACAGTGAGAAATAAGACCTGCAATTCTAATACTGCATCAACCAAAAACTCACCTCTGCTCTTGGTCTTCCTGTGACGTATGGTGGCGTGGACGAGCGCATAGGCCGACGACCGGTTGCGATGGCGTTTGCTGCGCTCCTCACTGAACCATTCTCCAGACAGAAAACGAAAACGTGCTTTGTCTTTCTCTGTCTCCTCGAGGACCCTACAGCGTTCAAATGGGACATAGCAAACAAACGTAATCCACTGTTGGCAAAAGTCAGCGACACAAATTAAACAGTCATTGTTGTCACTTCTGTCATGCAACCTACTTAGGATTTAAAAGACGTGTGTCAATCCTGCTAATAAAAAAGACACACACAGAACTTGACTTGCAGGGTTTTCATTTGCATTGACAATGACATGCACGTTTCTCTCTGATACATTCGCCGCCTTGACAGTAGAGCTGAAATTAGTTGATTAATCTACAGAAAATTAACAATTGTGATAAGTGAGTCACTGTTTAAATTAATAATCAAGCAAAAATACTCTGGTTTAGCTTCTCAAATGTAAATAGACCTATCATGATGATTACATTGTCGACTTATCGAGATCAGCAAAAATGGTGAAGGTCATGTCCATATATCAGACAATATTGCCTGTTGTGTTTATATGTTTGTTCACATAATAATGTCACCAAAATTTTTGCCACACATGATTAACAGCAGGGTTTTCCCAACCACTAAAAGACATGAACACAACACCTAGACCAAATGGACAGGAAGAAAAACATAATGAGAAATGTTTTACTGTCATTTCTGGTCAAATTAAAAGTTAATTGCACTTTGAAAGGGTGTACTTGCTTACAGCTACTTATTATGTTATTATATTATCATATCAGTGGCATTAAATGGCCTTAAAATGACCATTCGGAGCGATTATTTTTGGGACGATTCATCGTTCAATAAAAGTAGTTATTAAGCAGGCCTGAATGTGAGGGTTTGCTCTCCATCATGGGATCAAGCATCTTACTGCTTTCTCAAGTTTTATAGACTAAACAATGAATCAATTCATCAAAAAAAAAACATTTAAAAAAAGAAGAAAAATGTAATCAAATTTAGTTGTCAGCTGAGGCAGAAATTCAAAGATAACTGAACACAAACAGGGGACAACTGGATGACTATTAGATCTCATTAACTAATCAGAGGTCCTATGAGGTCTCTGTCTCATGTGGTAGTGACCAGTGATAAACAAGGCACAAATATTTTTACTGTTTTCTATATTCCCTCAACTGAGACAAGGCTGAATAACCAACCAGGCAAAGCAGGCAACTGTCTCTGGGCCCCGCACCCCAAGAAGCCCTCTAAAGCCCCACATTCACAGTGTAGCGAGTGATTTCTGGTCATTTCATTAACTGATTAACTGAAAGCTTGTTTGGAAACATGCATTATAAAGATCAATATCAACTGACGTGACGAGGGCATTAAGGTGGGTCCTGCTGATTTTGAGGCCCCTGACTCATATTGAAGAGGGCCTCTGTATCACAGCCTTCCTTATCTCGGCTGATATCAAGCTCACATGTTTCTATAACTACATTTCATACTGTTACACACCCAGCAAAACTTCTCATACAGAAATTGTTTTTCAATCTTAAAAAGTATCATAAAAAAAAGTATAAACTCATACGAAAGTAATTCCTCTCAATCATCATCAGAGACTAACCCTGCGCTCTGCCTGTATTTACTCTTTATTTCTCTGTTTCCGGAATTTCCTGGACACAGAGCACACGTATCCAACCCTAAGCACTGTACATCCAAGAGCAAGCAACCAAAATGGCAGACACTGCACAAAAAGAACACAAATATCATGTGGAGAAATCATGGGTGTGTAAAGACAACTGGATACAGTGTTGGAGGCAGTCTCCTTCATGCCTATGACTGCTGCTCAGTGGTACCCTGGAAATCCAGAGTTCTTGCGAGAGCAAAATTTGAATTTGCTCAGCAAGTCACTCTGGCAATCAGTAATGATGCTCATTATCCATGCCCTTGTAGCCGAGCTGCACCAATCACATCGGTGTATCTGATATAGGCGGGACAGAGGCGAGCTAAACAGATGACGACAGCGCTGCGACAACGAAGTCCGGAATCAGTCAGTAGGCTATACATTGCAAGATGGCTACGGATGAACACCAGTTGTTTGAAATGGCTTTCACCGCTACAATGAACAAATTAGACTTGGCTTTTTCTCTAAAAGAGGAACAGAAGACGGCACTCGAATCTTTCCTTTGCAAGAAGGATATTTTTGCTGTTTTGCCGACCGGATACGGCAAGAGTCTAATCTACCAGTTAGCTCCGCTGGTAGCGCTCTGGATACGTCAACCCGTGTATTGTTCTGATTGGTCGTAGTGTTATCCAATTGCGTGCAGTGATATTTTCAAATGCATGCTTGGTGCCGCCCCTCGAGTTGGACCATTTGCATTACTCATAGCCAGACCCTAAATCTTTCTAGATTTGGGTCTGGATTTCCAGGCTAGCTCAGTGGCACATGAAGCCAAAAATGTTTGATTTCAAGGGTATAAAACTGGCCAGATCGTCTGCATCGTTGTGCCCATAGAGCAAGCACACTTGAGACTTTCATTGGCTAAGTGTCTAACATCCGGTTCAGAGAAGACAGAGTAGTTGTGCGCACATCCAGTCCTGCTTTAGGTCAAGTGCTGGATAATGGGGGTCCATGCAGAAAGAAGAAGAAAATCCGCACACTGAATTAGAGCTCCCAGTAAGTTTTTAATGACTAAAAAAGCAACGTTTCGACCCAAACGGTCTTCCTCAGGCAACTTCAAAAGAATGAATGAAAAGGCAGGTGGCAGGTATACATATAAGCTAAGAGCCAGGTGTCATCCCACCCACGTCATCTGTCAATCAAACAATCAGACAGTCGTTCAAGTGAGCTATATATAGGCATATGATGGCTACTTAGTATGCACAAAGGATTTGCATATCAATAAGTGCAAAGAATACAGATATACAAAATAAACAAATTATTATTGGGGAAACACATAATACAAAAGAGACAACTTTACTATTAGACAAGAAACTTTTTAGAATATTTTAGTAAATATTTTAAGATTTTTTATAATTTTGTAGAAACAAACAAAACAAACAAACATGGCCTTTTCATTCATTCTTTTGAAGTTGCCTGAGGAAGACTGTTTGGGTTGAAACGTTGCTTTTTTAGTCATTAAAAACTTACTGGGAGCTCTAATTCAGTGTGCGGATTTTCTTCTTCTTTCTCTCTTTTAACATCTGATTCAGCCCTCCCCGAACTTGAACAGGGACAAAACTGATATAATTTTTGTGGCTCTTCCAGACTTTTGAAATGTTATCAGACCCAATGGATCAAATTCTGATAGTGAAACAAGTCATGTTGTGGGAGTTGTGACCTTCTGAGGAAGAACTGTGTACTTGGTGTGCTGACGTATTTGGTTTTCTACTTCCTTGGTCCAGCACCCACTCCATTGGACGTTGGGACGTGCATGTCTTCTGTACTGTTTTATAAATGTAAATGTATCCACTGATTTACAGACATCGCTCTCACAATGTAAGTCTATGGAAAAAGTATTTTTGGGCCCCATGGCATTGGGTGATGGACCAGGAAGCTGTAATTCCATAGTTTTGCAAAGCCCAGTGCTGTTCTTGGAGTCTTGGGCAAAATGGCAAGCAGAAAAGGATCATTCCATGGTTTACACTTTCACTAGTGAATAGTGAAGGAGAGGATGGGGGTGACGAATGACACAGAGTTGGCCTGTTTTCCGTTGGACAGGTAGTGCCAGTGGGTAGCTTAGTTAGCTTGCTAAAGTATTGGCTCTTCCATGACAACAAACATTACATTCCTACAGTAGCAGTTTACAGTGTGTGTACAAGCAGTGTAGGGGGGAGGGGCAAAGGTTGAACACTGTGTTTACAAACAGTAACTGACAATTCCTCCTACATCATACAGACAGAGGATGACTCAAAGGAATACCCTTGATACATTAGTGGAGATACAATTAATGCAGATGCTTCCTGACAGGTGTACAGCATGACACAATGAAGGTGTCATCATCCCATTACGTTCTCTGATTTGACTTTTTCCCTTTGGATTAAAGCATCAAACGAATACAAAGTTATTCTGAGAGGTCACTTTCATGCAGTGATGAAACATGTCTACCTAGATGGAAGTTTTATCCCTGAGGATGACAATTCCCCTCATTGACGGGGCAGAGGGGGGGTCACTGAGCGAGTATGGAAATGTGAGTATGATAATGTAAATCAGTCACCGGATCTCAACATCTCTTAACACCTATGAGATATTTTACAGCGATGCCTCTCTACCACCATCATCAAAACATCAAATGACAGAATACCTTCTGTAAGACCAGCCCAGAGACTTATACGATCTATCAATGCGACCTTACTGAGGGGCACTTTAGTTCCTTTAAGTTGTCACCTGTCTCTGTGACAGTGTTAGTCACTAGACAAACCCGGCACCTACAATGAATAAACAATCACCTCTGACCTTACACGTCCTTCATCGCGAAGACGCAACTCCAAGTCACGCTGTAAGACCTGCAGGATGGTGGACTGCTCATCGTCTGTCAGGTGGCTCAAGTCAAGTGAAGAGTCAGTCAGCTCCCCCTCCATCCCTGAGTGACAAGCAAAACCACAATCCTTAAACAAGCACATGACACCTGTTCGTTTCTAATCACATTTAAACATGTCACCATGTGTCTCATGACAGATTGCTCTTGTTGCAGTGACTTATATCTTGTATATCTCAGAGGACAATATATAGTACTGTTTGTCAAGTGATGTATTGGGAACATTCTGGCTTGCAAAACCAGTGCTTCCCAACCTTTCTGCACTATGACGCTTTAAAAAGAAGCACTGGCTGTCTACTTGCTGTTGCTCAGATGTTGCATATGTCATTGAGTTGTGAGATTTTTTTTCTTCTGACTGTTAAGATTTAATAATTCTTGAGGCCTGAAGAGATAAAAGTCTTTATCAGAAACATCGGAAGAAAAGACATTATTTCATGTCTATTCATGTATAATTTGTCTTCTGTCTTATCCTGTAAATCATCTTGAGATCCCTGGAGTTTATCTTGTGGTTCCACACTGTGAAAACGTTCAAAACATTTTGAAATCAAGTGTCGCCCAGTGGCTCTGGTGCCTCAGTGGGTGAGGACACATGCTGTGACAGCGAGGCTATTCCTGTCTGCTTCTATGCTTTCATCTGCTCCTTCTCCAAATGCTCTACTGTGGACTCTCTAAACCACTCTAGGCTTGAACATAAATGTTAGTGACATTGTTTTAAACCCTTCACCTACAAGATTGCCATTTGTGTATCAATTAGTCACACTGTGATACCCTGAATTCATGTGGAAAACTTTGATTGAGCATATTGATTCACTGATAGATTGAGGACCACTGTGGTGGAAATTTTGTCTTCTTCATGCATATGCTTATACTGTTTCATTCTTGCTATGTGTTTGTAAGTGTGTGACCTTTGCATCCCCCTTTTGTAAACATCTGTTGTTTCTTGACATCATCAAGAGATTTACATTCACTGTAATCTCTTCTTCACAGACAGTCCACTGACTGTCTAGCAGATACAGCCGATTGCCTAACATGTTATATACTAGATTGCAACAGGTATGCTCATCTGGTGTAATCAAGAGAACATAATTAAACCAGGAAAGCCCAAGAAAGCTACAGTTGACTTCTCGCCATTTTGTCGTCTGAGTGTGGGTATAAAGATGCCCTGTGTTCACTCTTCTGGGCGCAACCTCTGAGCTCTGAGGTTGCGCCTTCTATATTGAGAATAAACTCTCATGCACGAAGCTATTCAGTCTTGTTTGCCACAACAGCAAAACTATAACAAAACATCCATTTACAATCTCTCACACAACCCATACAGTATAATGCAAATCTCTTTGATCCAGCCGTACGCTCAGTGCTTCCCAAACACATGTATTTACACTAAAAACCTTTTGTAGTCTGGCTTTGAAGAGAGCACAGATAAGTTTCACTTTAACTTAAACAGCAAGGTTTTAGAAGAACGCATGTGTCTTGTGTGTAATTATGTATTGTTTATTTTACTGGAAAATCTAATACAGGAAGAAGGTAAAAACAATATTTAACATTACCTGGTTTGACACTGAGGAGCAAGTATGCAATTAAGTAACCTGCTGCTCCACTAAATAATCATGTTTATGTCTTTGAGTTGGTGTGTGTGTGTGTGTGTGTGTGTGTGTGTGTGTGTGTTCACTGCCTCGCGGCTAGTTACCTCTGTGTAATTAAGGCATGCGCAAAGCAATCCTCCTCGGGTTAGGAGTTTGGCAAACAGGATATCATGGAAGTGCACCACAGTTTTTACAGCGTGACACCTAAACCTAAAAAAAGAAAAAAAAAAACAATAATAATAATAAAGTTTGTAGCACATGACATAAAGTATTGTTTTCCTGTCGTCATATTTGTACTGATGAATACTTTCTTATTTTTACACAACATATGATACTATAATATTTACTTTTTAAAGCTTATTTAAGTGTCTGACCACAACAAATTACATGAAGTTTCCCTTTTAAAAAATGAGGCCCCTGCTGCACTTTCCTCATCACAAACACCGCGAGAGAGAAGACACCTGTCGCCACTTTCCCCCTCTTGGCTCAAAGGTGAAACTCTCCCCTCTCACACTCATACTAAAACACCAACAGAGAAACATAAAGCCCAAGTCAAAAGTGTGTTACCTTACTTGAGAGCTTCCGCCACTTCCATCGGAGAAAAGTTTCGGGAAAAGTTGTTGGGAGTGCGGTGTGTGTGTGAGTGTGTGTGAGTGTGTGTATGTGAGTGTGTCGAGGTCTGTGTGCAGAGTAAACGCAGTGAACACGCCCTCCAGAGTTAGTGAGTCCGCACAGAGGCTGCAGTCAGCTGGTAGGCGAGCACAGAAAACACGGAGGGAGAGTAAAGTGTGATATGACTCACACACACATACACACACATACACACACACACACGGATGTTTTACAAAATGGCAGGGTGGAGGTGGGATGTCACTTTTTCCTTGTTGTCCACACCTGCTAAACACACATTTGGCCACACACTGAAGCTGCTGCTGCTGCTGCTGCACCTACTCTACTGTACACACACACGTGCACACATATGCAAACATGACACACATACATATCTGTGCTTGTTTTAAAGAGACTAAAGCCAGCAGCACAGGAAGCCTGTTTCAACTTTACTGTGGCAAAGTGTGTGTGTGTGTGTGTTTGCTCTCTCTCTTTGGAAATGTATTTGTGTGTTGGGGGAGGGTGCGTTCAGAGTGTAAAAAGACCTGTATTCTGTCCTTTGTCAACAGATTTGGATGACAGCCACGCTCTGCCCAGTTGGGAAACTTTTTTGTGTGGGCTTATTCAAGCCTATATGGGTCCTGGCTCAGACAGCGTCTGGTGCATCCAACCAGCCATCCTGCTGCTCCCCAAAAGCCCTCCAACAGTGCCCCCGCTGCATGCTGGGATGCCTACTGACACCCACATATGTGAGGATTAATAGGTGATTCTTATCTGCAGATACTGGGAGTGTGTCGCTGGTCACACCCAAGCTACACCCGAATGGTTCACTCACTCTGCTGGTATGGGCAAACATGCACTTAACACATTCTGTACAGTCTCTTGCTGTGATTAGCAACTCCTCGTCTGCATGTGTGACAGCAGACATGACACACACAGAAACAGGTGAGGTGGTTATTCTGAGTTTATTAAGGCTGCCAGCCTCTGTGAGCAGTTGTCATTCTAATGGCATCACAAAAACAATCAAACAGTTCATATTGAACGTAACCAGCATTATCAAAGTAAACAGGTCACATCAGATATGTATAGAATATAAACAGGAGATTAGTGGTTCCTATGTATGGACTATAAATACGAGCAGTTAAAACAGACACTGCCCAGATGAAAATAAATTTATATAAAAAAAAATAATAATCTGAGCTACTGACAAGTCAAAACAAAACACACACAAATGCAGGCAGATTATGAGACAATGGGCCCCTGGGCACCATCATGACGAAGGCCCCATCACCTCTCCTACAGAGGAGCAAGATACACAGACTTTAATAGTTGTTTAGCCTCTTTTTGTTTTGGTTTCCTTGAAATTGTTACAGATCTCTCTTTGGTTTTGTGTCTCTTCCTCTTTTGTCCCTTTGTAGTTGTCAGTCTTTTTGCATCTCTTTGCAGCTGTTTTACATCTCTTTGTAGTCGTTTGTATCTCTTTGTGGTCATATTTAGTCTCATTGTCACTGTTTTGCATGTCTACACTCATTTTGTATCTATTTGTGGTTGTTTTGCCCCTTTTCGTAATTGTTGTGAGTATCTGTGTCTCTTTGCAGCTGTTTTGTGTCTTTTTGTGGTCATTTTGTGTCTCTCTGTCTTTTGTCTCTTGGTAGTCATTAGTCTTTTTGCATCTCTTTGCAGCTGTTTTACATCTCTTTGTTGTCATGTGTGTCTCTTTGTGGAATTTTTGTGTCTCTTTGTAGTTGTTTCATGTTTCTTTGTGGTCATTGTGAGTCTCTTTGTAGTCATTTTGAATCTCTTAGTCATTTGTTTTTTGCACCTCTATACTCATTATTGTTATTTGTGTTTGTTTTGCCCCTTTTTGTAGTTGTTGTGAATCTCTGTGTCTCTGCAGCTGTTTTACATCTCTTTGTAGTTGTTTGTGTCTCTTTGTGGTCATTTTTAGTCACATTGTCATTGTTTTGCATGTTTACACTCATTTTGTGTCTCATTGTGGTTGATTTGCCCCTTTTGTAGTTGTTGTGAGTATCTGTGTCTCTTTGCAGCTGTTTTACATCTCTTTGTAGGTGTTTTATGAGTCTTATGGTCATTTTGTCACTTAGTCATTGTTTTGGATGTCTTTATTGTCATTTTTTGTCTCTTTGTGGTTGCTTTGCCCCTCTTCATAGTTGTTGTGAGTCTTTGTGTTTCTTTGCAACTATTTTGCATCTCTTTGTGGTCATTTTGAGTCTCCTCCTGGTCGGCATGTGTTAATTTGTGAGACATTTTGCATGTGAAAGACAGGGGGAACCCCGATACTTTGAGCCCCTAGGCCTGTGCCCATTTGACCCATTCATGAATCCATCCATGCACACATTTCAGGTGAGTGGTTCTGAAGTCATACTGTAGAAAGTCATTAAGTTTAAATTACTGGTACAATTGCTTAGATAATAAAGTGTAATCTTCTCTTCCCAAAGGAGATGTTGAAATGGCTCCTTAGAGTCCCCAGCTAAAGCTCCCATAAATCACTGCAAATACATGAAAGATATAACACACATAAATATTTGATTTGGGTTACAGTGAAAACACTGTGAAACACAGACATCCGCTGAGATAATGGGCAAAATCATTCAGTCTCATTTAGTTTTATATTAGGGTTCTTGAAAAAAGTTTAAATGCCTGCTATGACCTTGTCTGACCTTCTGTCTACATTAGGATTATATCACTCTTTCTCACAACCACAGTGTACTATTTACACAGTGGAATCAGCTCATTTGATACAGCCGGTTGCTTGTTGTTTGTAAGAGGACAAACACTTAACATGCAGTATTGGTGACAATTTATGGTGGGTTTAATCACAAAGAAGAATCACTGAAAGTGCTGAGACAATCAGAGCTTTGGTGTTTGTCAGATTGCATGAATACCAACAGCCAAAATATCTCTGGAACATAAACACAGTGAACACATGCAGACACTCGTTACACAACACAGTATTCTAAGAAAAATGTCCTCTTACAAACACACCCATCCCCCAGGGGTACACATGGGGACCAAACCAAAAATGACAGGGGCTCAAAAAAAAAAAAAAAAGACACTCTCGTCATCAGAACTTGATGAGTCACTGCTCTGCTGTCCTCCACTCTCGCCTGTTTGTCCTTCACACATCTCATCTTCACTGAGGCTGCTCTCTGTGTGAAGACAGGCAGAATTTTGATTTGGACAGACAGGCTTTGTGATGAGAATCAAAATACAATCTAGAAGGATGTTAAAGGTGAACCACACTGTGCATCGGCTGCTGTTGATCACTGTCGCCACCAGATGTTGCTCTTGCACCAACAGACCATCACTTAACTCAGTGACACAGACATATTTGCACAAACGCACTTAAACTGATACAGCCACGCTACATTCTCTGCTCTCTAACACCTACGTGCACAAACTCACATGGGGTCGTAGCTGCTCTGCTCTTTGGATTTGAGGAAGCGCATGGCGAAGAAGCCGCCTGCCTGCACGCACAGCACCAGGATGATGCCCCCAATGAAACTGGACATGTCAAACTTGGCTTGGGAGAACTCTGGGGATGTGTTGGTGCTGCTTCCATCACCTGGGGGGAAATAAAAGGAAGAGCTTGATGGAATCACAGTGAAATTACATGAAAGCATGCTGGGATGGGAATAGAAGAGAGCATCAGAGTCTTTTGCTTTTTACTGGTGGAAATGACAGAGTGGTACTTGAGGGCATTTACTCAGCTCTTATGGGAATAATACATGTCTGACGCAAGAGAGAGGAAAGGGGGTGGGAGGGGAGTCGTTACAATTTACCTGAGTCACTTTCACCTCCTCCTGCAGCTACAGTCTCTACAACTGGGAGACATTACATTCAAAAGAAATGAGTTACTGAGGTTGCCGATAAATGTGTGTTAAATGTGTTAATTCTGGATGAATTGTTTGATACCTGAGCAAAGTTCAGACACTCTCGTCCAACTACAGTTCATGCCGTTGTCTGCCGAGTCGCCCCCATCAGTCACACACATGCCTGTGTCATTACCTGAGACAGAGAGAACACGTGTTTTAGCGTGTGTGTGTGTGTGTGTGTGTGTGTGTCTGCGTTCCTGGCACACTAAATAATTCAGTCATCTTGTACAAACTAGAGAAGCTTATGTTACAGCAGCTTTGATGATTGAATTGCTATCAGAGGTCAGGGGTCAGTGTGTCTGCATGTGTCTGCATGTGTGCGCGTGTGTGTGCACCCATCACCAGTTGGACAAAGCCTCCAAACACAGCCTGTCAGGTTCAGCATGGAGTTGCCAACGCACAGGTCACATGACTCAGCTTGAGAACAATCTGTAGGAAGGACAAAACTGGCAGTCAATTGGAAGTGTCACTCGGAACAGTTGATTGGCCGATACGCAATCATCTTCCCCCACACACATTTTAGCAGCTTAATTGTTGCAAGACGTCTCACACCCACGTCCAAGTCTGGACAATGTCAGCATGGGCAAAGCTGGCAAGTAATGCCAAAGCAAAGATAGCAGAATCTCATTCACCTCTCACATTTTGCTTATTGTTAGCGTGTGAGAAAAAGCCGTTGTCACAGTTAATGAGAGGAGATATTATCAGGGAAAGACTCTTGAAGGAGATCGAATGTTGGGCACATCAGGTGCAAAGTGTAGGAAGACACACCAACAGGTTTAGTACACTGAAATGATCCTACAATAAAATAAAATAAATGTAACACATGTCGATGGATCCATACCTGACTGTGAGTACACAAAGGGCACAACTGCTAGAAGCAGCAGTGAGGAGCAGATGATCTTCCACGCCAACTGTTGCATCCTGACACCCACAGAGTACCAACACCTGCCGAAAACTTTGGTGCTTGGAAAAGGATTAGTATCAACAAATTAAAAAAGGATTTCAATAAAAGTATCTTCTGTAGGAGTATCCAATGGTTGCAAATGGAGATATGGCTCCTGGCTGGGACACAGACAGAAAGAGAGGAAGACAGGAGACACAGAGATCTGTGTAACATGAGCGACACCCAAACCTGGTTTCCTGGCAACCAACTGGCCCACCTCAACCCTTCTGAAATACACACCAGGTTGGACGGAGTGACACCTGTTTAGTTAGCCGACAATGCACGCACACACGACAGAGGGACAAACAGGAAGACTCACTCACAAATAATCTGCAGTCAAATATTTTTTGTAGGCCTGAAGTGAATTTTTTTTAATTGATTTTCCTTTCACATCATTCAGATGTTCAAACTGGGTGTTTGTTTTAGGATGTTGGGTCCCAACCTGGAGGCCGGGGCCCCTCATGTGGTCCCAAGATAAATCTTAGGGGTCACAAGATGATTTAAAGGGACAGTTCAACACAAAAGCAAAAGTATTTATAGTCTTACCCGTAGTGCATTGATCTAACACATTCTCACTACGACCTCGTCACATACTGATGTTTGGTCATGGACCTTCCATGTCCACATGTGGTATATAAGAACCCTGGGTGTGTTGGTTGTTGACATTCTTGGACACTGTGTCAAGTTCTGCCTGTTACATGCATTGTCTTCTTTCAAAATACACTTCTGTTTTCACAGGAAATTTGACATTTACATACAGTCGGCGCTACATCAAATGCACTACGTCAGTACAACACCGCGAATTGACCCTACTTGACCTTCAGCAACAAACACACATGGTTAGGTTTTGGGAAAAAAAACAGGATTTGGCTTTAGAATCTTAGGAGACACAAACACCACTCTCTCGGGTGAAAGTTGATGTTTGTTGGACCCATCCACCACCTCTCCTGCCCACTCCAGTCGGACTTTCGCCACCTTAACTTTTGTCCTTGTACCTCTGTGTTTCCCCCTGACGCTGCCAGGCGCCATTAAACTATAAAGGCAAAGAGACGCAGATCATGCAGACATTAAAGAACACCTTTTTTCGTTGGTATCTGACGCCCAAGCGCTGGACTTTGACGATTTCAGTGTGAGAACGGGCTCATTGATCAGTCTAGATTGTTTTGGTGTGCGTTGTCAAGTACTGGAGATATCAGCCATAGAGATATCTGGCTTCTCTTGAATATAACAGAACTAGATGGCACCCAAAAAATACATTTTAAAAAACTCAACAGCAATATATCTGTCCAGAAATCATGACCCATTTACTCAGGATGTAGACGCGGATGCTCTTATGTCTGATTTTCGAGTCTTTGTGGAGCTTATGTGGTTGGTGTTGGACGATGGCGGCGTGTGGCTGTCAGTTACTCTTCTTGTTGAGAAAATCAACTTACCAGACTGTGAACTCTGCAACTCTTCCAGCCATCTTCTGGCTAGCTAGCTGTAGCTAGCCAGGTCAATGTTCTCAAGTGTCAACATCAGTAAAGATGGAGGAAAGAAAAAGAAAAGATGGAAAAGAACGGGCACCATCTGAACTAGCATCCTACTAGCCATTGTACAGATGTTTATCAGGTACTGTAATCTCCTTTGATTCACCTAAACTTGGCTAAATTCTGCACAGCCCCTTTCAACCAGGCCACTCAAACGAAGCAGATGAGGAGAGGGAGAGGAGGAGTATGTTTTATGGTGAATAAAAACTGGTGTGTCAGTGAAAATGTGAGGTGCTACCTGTCTGGCTGTGGATAACTGCCCCACTGCCATGTTCAGGAATAAGCGACCCTGCAACTGTCTTATTGAGGTCGGAATGTGTAGACAAAATGAATAATTCCACAGCTAGGATCCATGGATTACCAGAACCATCCTGAATCATGGACAATTATGAAGCATCAGCCAACAATGTAAGAAGACAAAAAAGGACCAATCACAGTGCACAACTTAAGGGAGCTGATGGGTTTGCATTTCACTGGAGTTGTATACAATTTTCATGTGACAAAAAAATGATGATGATGATGATGATGATGATGAGACCTTGTTGTGAGCAGTCCCATGTGGGAACTATTTTCTTTCTACCAAACCACACCCACCCACTGTATCACCGTGCAGAAGGAAGCATCTACTGCTAGCTCACATAGCACCACTAAGCTAGCTAACAATACAGCTTAGCAGAGGTCGACGGAAATAATTTTTACCTCTCATGCTGACACGAGCACGGGCCTCTCTTCTGAGTAGATGCACGCTTCCTTCTGCACAGTGATACAGTTGGCAGGTGTAGCTTGGTAGAAAGAAAATAGTTCCTTCATGAAACTGCTCACAACAAGGTCTGTGGATTATCTTGAGTAACTGGAAACATTTCTGTGGAGTTTTTCAAATGTATTTTTTTGCGCTTTATGCACCACATGCGGACATCTCTAGAGCCGATATCTCAAACACTCTGTAACTCACACCAAAACAATCTAGACTGATGAACAGCACTACAGATAAGAGGAGTGTATATATTTTTATTTTTGAGTGAACTGTTCCTTTAAGTGATAACACAATAACAAGAGTGACTAAGAGTCTACAGTCATGCACGTCATCAAAGTTCAAATCTAATTCACCCTTTATGCACCGTGAGTGTCTGAATCAAATGTCACAGTAATCAGCGTTTGAGATATTGCAGTGTGGATCATAGAGCACCACTGCTATCACTGCTATAAATATCTTCCTGTTACACATGTTGGTTTTTTTCTCACCTGTCCAGGCCTTTACAAATTCTTGAAGTTAAAAAATCTGCGATGGAAAAATCCCTCTCTACAGTTAAACTGATCACACGTTCACTCAAAGGCCATAACCTGTGACAAGGGTTGCCAGGCAGCTTCATTTTAAGCACTCACAAGCCAATTAAATGCAGCAACCATTGTCCTTGGAAATTAACTAGAACCACTCAAAGAGGTATTTTTGTTAAACAGGCATGTGCTTGAAAAAGTCAGGTTATGACAGCTTTTCAGTCCCGTCAGCGCCGCTCAGTAATGTGTCTGATGCAGTTAATATTAGGTGATGCAATCCAATTAGGACTGCTATATTTATACTGTGGTGTGAACGTAAAACTCACACTGACGTTGGCATGTGCGACTACAGTAGACAGCCAGTGCGTCATTAGTCTATCATACACTAAATGTGTCACTGACTGTGATGAAGTGCCGTCGATTCACTTGTCACACAGTCAGTAATTGACAGACACATGACAACAGCTCAGACAAGGTTCTGAAGCCAGACACTCAGTAATTAGTGCAACACCTTTTACTTTCTGTAGAGCCAAGCTTTTGTTTCTGCTGTTAATTATGTCATGTATGAAGGCTATGTGATTTCTGTTTTGGCCACGTAAAGGTCATTATTAATCTGACCACACATTAGTTTGAGACACATCTTTACATATTCAGAAAATAAGCTATAGCATTAGGGCTACGGACATCTACAAATAACCATTAATCCATTATAGGTTGATTTGCTACTCTTCAGTTACTGCACTGCACACATCCCTGGTCTGGTGTGAGCTAGCTAGCAGCATCGTTTTTTTGGCGATTACTGTTTGTAGCCCCATCCTGACCCAACGGTGTTGCTGTGGAAACATTGTGCCCACTCTCTGGTCCAAGGGTCACCCCTGTACAGGAGCAGCTGAATTTCCAGCCACAATCCCCCTTTAGCAATGCTCCTTTTAGCTCTGTTAGCACCATTAGCAGGATTAGCACAGCTAGCAGTGCAAACATAGTTAACAAGGCTAAAGGGGTTTTGCCTTAGATTTTAATGACAGGCTACCTAGATACCAGACACAAGGTGGCGCCTATTCATGTCATGATTAGATGAGTGGACCTGGCACATACGCCGAAAAAGTTTTCTAACTTCCGGGTTTACTTTCACAGTATGCAGCCCACTGAATATGTGCAGTAGTGTCATAGAATTTTAAATCGCTTTTCCACCATGCATAAAAAAAGAGTCATAGCAAATCTTGTTTGCAGGTCGAGGGATTCTGTCAACAGTTTTACAAATGTGTCTTTTACAATGGTGGTCTGTGGGGAAAATGCTTTTTGGGCCACATGGGATTTTTTTGCTGCAATACCACAAGTGGCCACTGGGAAAACTTTGCTGCAAGGCCGAGCAGCTTTCCTGCAACTCAAAATAAAGCCATTCGCTCACAGACAGCTACCTGGGGGTAACCAAAGGGGGGACCACCATATTTCTGCAGCAACACTGTACCACCAGCTAATTTGCATTTCCTGTGTTATTGAAGGAATGACCCACTCTATGCTCCCTTAGATCAGCTAGTACTCATTGCCTTCATTGGTTAGATTGGTTAGGTTTAGACAGGAGGAGTGAGATTGGTTAGGGTAGAGTAAGGCAGGCCATTCCTTCGCTATTCTAGGAAATGCAAAATCTCTTACCTCCACTGGGACGGCGTTACAAGCGGTAATCACTGAATGAGCAACCCCAGTAGTGCACAGCAGCCAAGGCTAACATTAGCTAACAAGTGGAGACTGGGGGATGTGCAGTGGGTACTGTGCTTTTGCATATGAATGCAGCTAGCGGGCTCCATCACAAAACATTAAAATCTACACCTCTCTAAATAAGTGGCACTTTGAGATGCAGTGCTAAAGCTCACTGAGTCAGTGGAGTGGAGAGGCCTCTTTTAATCAAATCATTTTGTGTTTTTGTTTTGCTGAAAAAAAATAACCATTTAGTTACCAGTTGATGGGTGTTGGGCTATTGAATGCAAAATTAGACAGAGGGTCTGAAGGCAATTATTAATATGGATTGATGTGTGACTGATCACTTTGTGGAACAGTAATGTGTAAATATGACAAAAGTAAAGGGGGGCTCAGAGTGCCCTACTTAGAATAAACTCCATCTACACCTCTGTACATGTACACGCAAATGCAAATGCACCAGCAGCAAAGGTACAAGCGCTTTGACCTGCAAAGTTGCTTTGTGATGCAGATGCACTGAGTCATAGTCCCGGCCGGGACACAAGCACTCAAAATCAGATGCATTGAGCCCAGAATCACGACACTCTTTTCAGCCTTATGCAATGAATACCACCATCGCCACCTCCTCCTCCACTCACACCGACGT